GGTACGCTAATCACCTCGTCAGTCGTCCCACCGCTCGCTAGATGGTATGTTGCCTAGCTACTGACGGCGCGCGCGCGCGTAATTTTGCAGATGCTGTCGGCCTTGATTCTCATTTATTGCAGATAAAAATTGTCTGTTGCAAAGCCGTCGCGCTTCACGGAACAGGAAATTGCCATCCTTTGTCTCTGGTCAACTGTTTATCGTATCGAAACGCGTTTCATATATTTAGGAGCACCTCCACTCGTTGCCTGTGATCTGCTTGCAAGGGATGGGTTCTGAAGGAAGCCTGCTGAACATACTGTTCAGAACAACAAGACCTCAATTACAGACGTTTGCAACTCTTCACGGTGCTGTACATTCTTACTGTGACTTTTTGGTTATGCCACCGTATTATATAATAAGTGAGTACCAACGTTTCGGAAGAGCATACTGCCTCCGTCTTCAGGATGCCTAGAAGTGTTAACAGGAATTATAAAACAAAGTCTCAATCAGATATTTTAATAGGGTGAATAGAGGAAGGCCGGTCACGGTAGCCGAGCGGTCTAAGGCATGCACTGTCTTCGCTCACTCGGAAGCCGGGATCGTGGGTTCGAATCCCACTCAGGGCATGGATGTTTGTGTGCGTTTTTCTATGTTTGTGTACAGGTAGAGGCCTTGCGACGAACTGATCACCCGCCCAAGGAGTCCTACCGTATGTGTAAGATCGAGAAAAACCGAAGTGAACGAAGTTCATGGAGGTAGGCCTAGGCCCACTGGGGCTGCAGTGCCAAGGGGGGAAAAAATAGAGGAAGGTAATGGAATTGACGGGACATGCAAAGATTTTAATCGGAGAAACTGAAGACACTGGAACGGTTTGGGGGGCGCAAGCGTAGGCGGGAGAGATAATATTAAAGAGGGTGTTAAATGATTAGGATAAGAAGTTGAAGACTAGATTGAACTCGTTTGCAGTAGGATCTATTTCCTGGATTTTTTGAACGCTGTAATGAGTCTTCAGTGATCCGTACATGGCGGGGAATTTCTCGACAAGTTGAGCGACTAGTAGTTAGTAAACAAAATATTTGGGACGAAGACGGATAAGGGGGCGCAGTCTGGAATGTCTTAACCGAGGAACTCTGAACCAGTCAGGTTACCTCTCTTGTGAGCGCTGATAAATGTATGGGGATGGTGACGGGTCGAGAATTTAAGTGGAACACGAAGACAAGGAGTTCGAACAGGATTTTGATGTGGAAGTTTTTGGAAGACCGTGGGTTGGAATAGACAGAAGGGGATTGCAGAGTATCAGTTTTGATATTAAGTTCCCGATGGGGTCATTCGACTTTTTTAATTGGCCTAATCCTTCCAGCGGCATTGTGGACCTGGTGTCTACTCAGCCTCAAACAGAAATGAATACCAGGGATCTTCGTGACAACCCCACCGCCGTCTGTGAGTCGTTTGTCTAGAAAATGTGGGAGCCTCGACGTCTCACAACCCAATGGGCCTCCAGGGCCTTTTACAGGGACAGCTTTACCTTTTTTGCCTTCTGTCCAGAAAAACTGAAATGCGTTAATACTCATTTATCCTTCCATAGAGTCAGTTAATTAGTAAGATGGATCTTAGGGAAATATGCTGTGAGGATGGGAGATGGATGAAACTGGCTCAGGATCGTGTCCAGTGGCTGGTTTTGGTATTAGCGCTGTTGAACCTTCGGGTTCTGCTACCAGAGAGTTAATTAGGAGAATGCATCTCAGAGAAATTAGTTGTGAGGATGGGAGGTGCATGGAACTGGCTCAGGATCGTGTCCAGTGGCTGGTTTTGGTATTAGCGCTGTTGAACCTTCGGGTTCTGCTACCAGAGAGTTAATTAGGAAGATGCATCTCAGGGAAATTAGTCGTGAGGATGGGAGGTGAATATAACTGCCTCAGGATCGTGTCCAGTAGCTGGCTTTGGTATTAGCGGTGTTGAACCTTCGGGTTCTGCTACCAGAGGGTTAATTAGGAAGATGGATCTTAGGAAATAAGGCTGTGAGGCTGGGAGGTGGATGGCACTTGCTCAGGATCGCGTACAGCGGATTAGTGATGCTCACTGTTTGGGCCCAGCTTCGAGAGTTAATATTTTTGTCAGAATATCGTAATGATGGCAAACGCGGTGTTGTGCCAAGCTCCGATATTTCGTATGTTTATTGATCGCAGATGTATCGAGGTCAGCTGGCGCGAGGCAGTCTCTATTATCAGCAACGAAACAGTTTCTGTCACCATCACCTGGCGTAGCGGTGACAACAGGGGTTTAAAAGTGTGACGTGTTGCGTGCCATCCATTCACCTTGCTGCTGGCGTTCTGCCAGCTTCCGCATCACGTGCCACTACGTCACTGCGGGGCGGGGTACTGCTGTGCCATAAGCCTCACAGCAAATGGCTAACTGTACTGCGGTACGACACACACAATTCGGTGTAATAACGTCATAATAGCGTGTTGCCTGCAAAACCGTGATCCGAGCTGAACACTTTGTTGGAACAGACACCCGTGATGTCATCAGAGCATTTAATACGTTAGATAATTCGCTTGTTACATAATGTAAACACATTAGGCATGGCCAGCACCGCGACAGAACACAAGGTGATTATGTGACACAAGTGACTATTAAGTAAGCGATAGAGGTATGTAGACAACGAGCAGTACTCGTCCGTCGTCCGGGCTGCAGTTGCTCTCCTTGTCAGTGCCACAGTAGCCGGGCAGAACGGTACTGCAATTGTTTACTAACGGGAAATTGGAGTGGCATCTGGGATATAACGTCGTGTAGTCCGTTGAAAAACTATCAACGTTTCGGAGGAACATGTCGCCTCCATCTTCACTGTCGAAGAAAGAAGCTTGAAAGCAAACAGAGCAGTCCACTTGCCGGAAGCTCGGGTTTGTGTAAGAAACACGATGGAACTGCAAGGCAGATCGTGAGTTCTCGTTGGCCGCGTCAGAGAACAGAGTGAGCCAATAGGAGGCAACACAAGGGTAACAAGTGTTGGCCCTGAAAAGGGCCGCAAGTGCGGATCTGGGGAGGGGCGTGAATAGTGCACACGGCTGTTATCTAAAGGAGGGTAGCCGGGTAGGGTAAAGTTTTCTCCGTCCTTCATTAAGCATAACGCCTTGAAGACGTGTGGGGGAGTGGAGGTCTATCTCCAGGCATACTTAACCTCGGTACTTCATTGTCCTGAGTGGCAAACTTCACACCTATGTGCTCCTGTCGGAAATCGGACCCCAGTTCCTCAGTTGCCTCGTTCAGTGTACTGAAGGAGCCACCTCGATTCAGGCGTAGGTGGGGTTAGCATTGGAATGTGCTAGAGAAATAGGATGAGATATAGAGTGGACTCATCTGGCTCAGGATGGGAGCCATTGGCGGGCTCATATGAACACTCCTATTACCTTCCGGTTCCATGATATTCAGGGACTTCCTGACTCGCCGAGTTACTATCAACATTTTAAGAATGGCTGTGCCTGTAAGTGCGCGGGGTGGCGTAGCAGTAACACACTAGGCTAGTATTCAGGAGGTACTGAGTACGAATCTCGGCCAGGGCATGTACCATCCTGTTTTTTCGCGGTTTTCTTCAGTCCTTTTGGCCAAATGTCTGCTGGTACCTCGATTAGGCCACTTCTGTTTCCAAATGCTTTGCAGTTCATCATTCACTCTTCCATTCGACGCTACATAGTGCAGCATCGTTAAACAGCCGTCAAGAAAGAAGTGAAGAATGTGATGGCGGGACTGATGCACCGATACCGGTGGGGCCGCGGTGGCCCACTTGCACGGTGACCCCGATTGAGGGAACTGACTGCCTGCGGACGCTTTCGCCACGCAATATTTTGTTCACGTTTCCTGCTGAACGCGCGCCGCGAATGCTGATTTAAGCAGGATGAGTCAATGAAGAGAAACTTCACAGTGAATAACATTAACTGAGGATGAGAAGTAGGTTACTGACTCGCTGATGTAACGTCTGCACAGCCAGTTCAGTCCCGTATTCCTGTACAGCCGGGTGCGTTGCAGTCTTTAGACTTCACATCCCAGCCCGCCGACTGTACTTTGTGTTTCACGTAGTCCAACACCGGGATAGTACGTCGCATTAACCAGTGAAAGGCTGAATTTATTCTGAATAATATATAAGAATTCAGTCCGTACCTCACAGGAAACATTGCATCTCCGTTGCAAAGCCCAGCCGGTTAATGCTGTTTACAGAAACAGCCGCTAGTTATTTTGAGAACCGTACGGAATAAACAGATATACTCTGTGGGCAGAATACAGAGTATTGGCGTGTTAAAGAAAGTGGTAAATATACAGTTACCGCTGTGATTCATAGGGCTAATCCGTGACTCCTCCCGTTCGCATGGATGGAGTTAATTAATTTTTATGTTGGATTTGAGGTTCTCACGATGGGGACTATGAAGAGGGCGCTCTTCTGGGTTATAACACTGTGTAGTTCGGAGAGAGCCCGATGATTCGGATGAACATATTGCCTCCATCTTTAGGGTAAAAATATAAGCCAAACATGAAAATTGAAAGAAGCAGGCGACAAGGAGAGCTTCTCGTTTCTTGCTTGGCTTACTGTTCAGCTGTGAGGATGGGGGTGATATGTTCCTCCGAAACGTCGGCCCTTCCCTGAGTCACTGTACTGTACAGACTTTAACAGTGTTAATTACTGCCCGACATTATTGCTGCTGCAGACATTGGGGTCGTGGGTTATAGTCCCTCCCAGTGCAAGGCCGTACGTCAACTATTTGCTTCAGTATCTTCAAGTTCGGAGGGTTCCTTCTTACTCGAGCCCTTCTCCCTGCCTCTCTCACTTCGCAAAATTTCACGGCCCTGCATTAAGAGACACTATAATGGTTCCAACTCCGAAGTTCGCTCAGCCACTATGTTGCTATTTTTCCGGCAGAAATGTAACGTGAGATGTACTCTGTTCGTACACTGTTCGATGAAAATCCGTGTGCTGGCTTAGACGTGGTACACACAGACAAGAGCCTAATTGTATTTTTCTGTTTCAGAGAAGAGGGGGCATCTCTGTGGACAGGACGGACCAACATGCCATGTTCATTCAGATGGTTGGTGAGTAGACGAGATCACGACGACCGGGTAGTGTAAGTTGCCTGTCAAGGCCGCGCCATAGCTCAAGCGGTTAGTCGCTGGCTTCCCACCGCGGGTCTGGTCAAGTGGGATTTGTGGTGGACCAAGTGGCACTGGAGCAGGTTTTCTCCGAGTACTTCGGTTTCCCTTGCCAATCTTCATTCCACCAATTTCTCCACAATCACCCTCACCTATCATCTGGGGCTGGCACAATAGGCCAGAAGTGGCCGCAGTAAAAGGGACTTAAGTCTCACCCCACTAGCAATAAAAAAAAAGAGTTGCCTATCTGGAGTTTGTCGGCGTGTGATTCTTCTCACAAATGCACCTTAGTACCGCTGTCGCGGAATAGCTGACGTTTTCATGGCGGATACTTATATTCGGGAGGTGCCTGGTTCGAATCTTGGCCACGTAAATGCCGGGACGGTATGTCAGGCCACCATCCTGCCTGCCAAATCATTTTCAAAACGTCGTCCATCCGTCCGTCACCCTGCCATTCGACGCTAGATAGCCCAGTCACTGAGAGCGCCGTAAAATAGCCCTCAGAGAAACAGAGTCTGTGCTCGAGGTGGTGAAAGTGTGTATGGGGTGGGGTACACTGGCATATTTTACCAGCCCCGGACGATAGATGATGATTGTGAGCAGTTAGTAGAATGAGAATTGCCAGAAGAAACGGAAGAGCTCGAAGAGAACCTACCCTAGTGCCATTTTGTTCACCACAAATCCCATGTGACCTGACGTGGGATCGAACACGGGCCGCCGACGAGTAAGCGCCTGAGCTGTGGCACTGCCCGAGACAATGAGCTGGTTCGAAACGTCGGTGTCCGTGTACCGGAGCTGTCTATTCACTCTCTGCAAATTGATGTGGAAAGCCTGCCCGGCGCAATGCAGCTGAGCTTAGCTTGACCCGCATCTCGCGATTTTCTCAAAGCTTTTGGTAGCTTAGGCCACACGGGCATTTTTGTTTTTGTCGTCCGTGCGCTGACGTAAAATGATGGACATAGGCCAAATGACAGCGGCCAGTGTGATTCATTTCCTACTGCAGCAATAAACATATTCCGCGCAGACCGAGGTGGGTTCCGTGGATAAAGTTTCTTTGTTTGCACTTCTGCGCAGAAGACAAAAAAGACGAAAGAAAATGCAAGCTCCTTCCTCCAATTTCTGAAAGTTTATAAAGCGGAAAAGTAGCCGGGGTAGCTCTGTCTCTATAGCGACTCGGCTGCCGGCTGGACGACCTGGGAATCAGGGTTACATTCCAGGCAGGTGTAAGAAATTTCCTCTACTCCGCAGCGTAGAGACGGGCTCCTATACAGTGGCTACCTGGGGCCCTTGCCCCCGGGGTATAGCTTCTGAGGCGTGAATCTGACCAATCATCTCCATCTAATGCCGAATGATGGATCTGTGCCTCCACTCGCCATACCCCTTCACGGGATAGTCCTCAATTAATTAGACACAGGGATAATTTCATCCCTTTTTGTAGAATGGAAATCACATGTGCAGTCAGGCTTGGTTATGATGTCATCCAAGAGATCGGCGTAATTACGTCATTACAAGCAGTGTCCTGTTTGCCGTTGAAGGGGATGATTCAGATTTCAGCACCATTTTGTACAGCAGTGGAATTCATTTTAAATGTAGACTGGACATTACAGTATGTACAAAAATGATAACGTAAGATACATACTTATTCGTTGTAGTCCAGAAGGAAAGAGACCACTGGGAAGGCCAAGACGTAGGTGGGTGGACAATATTAAAATGGATCTTAGAGATATAGGATGGGATGGTATGTATTGGATTGATCTGGCTCAGGATAGGGACCAGTGGAGGGCTCTTGTGAACGCGGTAATGAACCTTCGGCTTCCATAAAATGCTGGGAAATTCTTGAGTAGCTGCAGAATTGGCGGCTCCTCCAGAAGGGCTGAGCTCCATGAGTAAGTAAGTAAGTCTGCCTTTTTGTCACTGAAGCTACTTTTCCATATGTTTTCTGAGCGTGTTGAGAAGTTAGAGTACTCTAGGCCACTCTATATTGTCGTTGACACAGAGCGCACGATAAAGTCCCGTTAAGTTTTCTGTCCATGCAAAGAATCAGGGTGGACTGCTTAGTCCATGTATGTCTCCGAGAGAGGCAGAAACGCGTGTGTTGTACCAGTCAATGTTAGACACTATCCAGGTTCGACTGTACTTCATGCTCAACTCGAGAGGCGCCGTGGAAAGTTTATAGCTGTCTGTGATAGTCTTCACAGCGGTCAACAGGTTTGCCGCGCGGCGCAGACTGTTGTGGCGTCGATCCGGGGCTCCGTGCGGCCAGTGCTGCAGACCTTGACTGCGGCGCACGTTTTTAAACACGTACGTCGGCCCACGCGCCTTCGTCTCTGCGAGTTGTCTTCTCCGCCGTTCAGTTTTACGTCCGTTTATGGACGGCAGAAAATCCTCACGTGGTCCTGTCCTAAGATTGGGGGGGGGACATACCATCCGCCTTCAGCGCCCAGACAGACGGTACTCAGATGTCATAACGCAAATGCCACACACACACACACACACACACTCACTGTGAACGTTTTCATGTATTTACATTCTCGTCCGTTTTCAAAACCAAATTTTATCCCAATTGAAATATAGTGGTAACTATACGTACCACTCTCTTTAACATTAAAATGAACTGGATTTTTCCAAATAGTGTGTCTTATGATTCTCACGGTATTTATGTACACAGCATTAACCGGTTGGTCTATGTATTGCAGATTCAGTATGTTTTCTGTGAGGGAAATATTATTTAAGGGTTCCGTAATACAGAACTGTATTTCTGTAGCTGTATGGTTTCTTGCTCAAAATACAAGTGGTGATGCAAACGTAGCAAGGACGGCGAGATGATGCTATAAGAAAGAACTCTGGTGATGTGTACACGCCAACTGGTGCTGTTAGGGTAGCGAACTGTAGATGTAGGGTCGACATGTAGGTTTGACAGCGAGGCCTAGGAATACAGTCAGTATTTTGATGAGGAATTGGGTTCAACATGTCCTTTAGGAATTACATTTGTTTATATACTTGTAGCTTATTTGCCGACGCTAACAGCAACCTCCGTGCAAGGAAGCGAACCAGACGTAATCCAGGATATCATTCCGGAATTTTCCCGGAGGAATTGAAGAAACCACAGAAATCCTCAGTGTCGGGGCCGAGAATCAGACCAGTTACAAGTCAGCAATATGACAGCTTGAACCAGTTTGCTCGGTTGCCCGGACGACGACTTGGGGAAATAAGTAGTGAGGATGGGAGGTGGATTTAACTGACTCAGGATCGTGTCTAATGGGGACTTTCATATTAGCTGTGTTGAACCTTCGGGTTATATTTGGCGTAGTATTTTAGAATGCTAAAAATGGCAACTGGACTGTTTATGAGTTCTTTAACTAGTCGCCAAAGTTAACAGTGACCAGCCGGCTCCGCTGCCCTGCACAGTGTTGAGCGGATGATCGGACTGACGGCTGACGCGTTCTCACGGCCCGTATCAAGTGCGGCCACCTGCTGCTTCCGTGAATAATGGAAACATCCGACACTGTACAGACTTTACACTGAAAGGGTCATTAAATAACGCATGAAAAATAAAACGATAGCATGATTACACGTGATATGCTATTCACTTGTCGAGGATAAAATCTCACACCGCAGCCATTTTATTTCTCTTTGTAGGTCGGTTTGTCTTCGCTGTATCGATCAAGTTACGAAATGAAGATCACTGTTTTCTGGGGTGACGCCATGTGTTCGGTAGGTGACCAGAGTATTTTGATGGAATCTGCTTCCTCCATTGTCACCATCAACTGAAGATGGAGGCACCATGTTGCTCCGAAACATTAATGCCTTTTTATCATAACGGGCTGCATCTCGTTCCAGAAGACAGTGAATAATATATTTACCTTCCAGAGAACCACTGATGTCACAAGTCAGCGCGTGTACGCATTGGTCCCTGTTCTCTACGCATTTCTCATATTCAGTTCATTAAGGCAGTTTTGCTGTATTGAATTTTAAATTCCGGTGACCAAAACCTCCTTCTTTCTCCGGGTAGAGACTAGCTTTGTTTTCTGGCCCAGGGACTGATGGCTTCTGAAGAAACGTTCAGCTTCATGGAATTAGTTAGTTCCCGGGCAACCCTAACCAACCAGTCGCTCCTCCCCAGGGGTGACGCACTCTAGAAACCGCTGCTTTATGCGAACCACAGTACTGTAGCTGACAGGCGTGCCGCAGTCTGCTGGAAGGAGAACATGCGAAGTACACTGACGTGGGTACAAGAATGAGCGGGGAGCAGGACTGGTGTATACTCAGCGTTCGTCCTCTGAGGGAACATGCTGTCCAGTTCCATTCCCACAATCAGCCGTGCTGCGTCGGCAACTTGTTCGACACATTTGTTTGGCGTGTAGTCTTGCAGAGAGCTCCAGGCGCGGATGGGGCTGCTTGCGACACATTCTCTTCGTCCATCCGTGAACAGACGTTCATAGTTGCATGGCTCAGTCGATATAATGACTAGGCTATGTATCTGACTTCGAGGGATTCGATGTTCGATTCCCGACAGCAATAGGCATGTTCTTTTTCTCCAGAGCTGCCATACCGACTTCTGGGACTGTCCAGTCCAATATCCAGTCGATTAAAAAAGATCTCTTTCTCCAGTGGTAAAGCGGCTAGGGCGTGAAGCTATTCATTCACCTTTATTCCCTTTATTACTGTCGTGACGCTTTGTTAGACACAGGACCACTTTATCTTACCTCAGTAGTTGAGACGTGACCATCAAGGGTTAAACCTTATCTTACTGAGTGTCCTAAGACAGGAGGTTGTGGCCTATTTCAGACCACGGTCATTCTCCTTGAAATACCAAGGAAATCTTCGAGAAGCAAGCAGGAGAGGCCGAGATTCAAACTGGGTACTCTCTGTCACAGCTGAACCAGTCTGCTCTCTGCTACTTATGGATGGCACAGAGTTGGCGCACAAGACTGAACTGGGCT